TACTAAATGCTTTCACGAGGTCTTGTATGAGAGCATTTTTACAAAATGATCAAATGTTAGTCTTGAAACCCCAAACAAGTTTGGGTTCTCCTCTTGACAAAATTAAACTAGATATATGTATGCTATGACTTATTTTATGCATATTTAGTCTCCACACTACATATGATTTTCTATGAATAGTGCAAGTGTGAGATATGTGTCCAATCATGCCATAAGAAAAACATTTAACTTCAGGAGAAGAATTTTTTAATTTATTTGTGTAAACTTATCTATTCTTAGGTTTTATGGTTTTTGTCTTTTTGTCAGGATTAAAAAATTGTTCAGGTGTATGTGGAATCTTGTTCTTTTCATATGCATTCAATTGTGCTTTAAAGAATGAGTTTGCACTTTCTAATACAACAATGTCAACTTTCAAATAGTGCTCTCTACTATCAGATTCATCCATAAAAGTTTTAAAATATTTTTTAAGTTCAATGTGGAATGATTTCAATAACTCATATTATTTATTCAAATCATCATACTCATCTAATAATTTCATGTGGTTTCTATCAATTAGTGAGTAATCTTTCCTAAGGATTTTATGCTCTTTTTATAATTTAATGAAATCTAAATTTAACCTAACATGTATCTTTTTAAGTTTTTTATATGCCGTATGAATTCTTTCAGAAACTTCAACTAACTCATCATAGGTTAAATTACATACCTCTTCTTGATCTAACTAATCAGGCTTATCGGCCATCAAGCACAAATTTGTGACTACCTCTACCTCTATTTCTAAAGAGTTCGAAGTTGAGTCCGCCCAAAAAGCTATCTAAAATCTCTTCTTACCCTTCCTCACATTTTTTTCTATCCTCCACCTTTTCCTTGGTAGGAGTAGCTTTAAGATTAGGGCAGTCTGATTTAATATGTCCAAGTTTCCTACATTCATAGCAAATAACATCATTAGAAACCTTAATATTTTTATAAAACTTACATTTATTCCATTGTTGGTATTTCCTTTGCTTCCTTTTTAGAAAATTTTTGAATTATTTTGTCATCAAGCTGTGATTGATCACTCTATGAGTTGTCCACTTTCAATACTATATTCTTCTCCTTTTGCTTCTCACATGCATCAATCTATCTTTAAGTCACAAGTTGTTCGTAAGTAATTAGTGATCCAAGAAGATTGTTATTTGAATACATATTTAAATATTTAGACTCTATAATAGTAGTTATTTTAACAATACAAGCAGTAGACAAACAACAAAGTATTGTATTCATTTTTCTGCATTCATTAATTCCCTACCTAAAGTATGGAAGGAAGTGACTATTTGAGTAAAATGTATGTACATGTTAAAAATTGATTCATTTGGTTTTATGCAAAGTAATTCATAATTATGCAATAAAATATTTAATCTTGATTAATTCACTTTGTTATTCCCTTCATATGTGATACAAAGTCTATCCTAAATTTCTTTTCCACTTTTAGAAGTAAAAATACATATGTAGTCGTTAGATTTAAGAGCACAAAAAAAAACTTTTCAAATATTTTGTATTTAACTATGCTAAGTCTAGTTCTTATACAGTACAATCAGTAAAGGTTGTTTTAGTTATAATACAATCTACAAGTCTAGTTGGCCTAGTATATCATCCATAACTAAAATCCATATGCGATAATCAAGCAATTAAAGAAAAGTTAACATTCATATTTACTAAAAATCAAAAGGGATATTATTAAATAATGGAGGTCTAGTAATCGAATACCATTTAGGTGTGTTACTGTTTTTAAAATTAGCCATAATCATTTTTCAAAAAGCAATATAAACTTTAAATTTTAAAGTAAGCTCTAATAGCACTTGAAAAGTTCGTATAGGTTGTTAAACCTATGCAACTGTCCTATAGCTAACTAAGAGGGGGGTGAATTGGTAATTTAAAAAAATCCCTCTTGAATAAAAAATCATTTTTATTAATTTTATAATTTGAGTTTCTTTATAAATAAACTTTTCAAGCACAATAACAAATTGCTGAAAATAAAATACAAAAATGTAAAAGAATATAATAGTTTATAGTGGTTTGGTCCAACAAGACCTACGTTCACTCCCTGAAGACACCCTCTTTAGATATTGCACTATTACCAAAGTGACTCTCCTTTTGCTCCCATAACAAGGTGGAGAAGCCTTTATAATTTTACTCTCTTCCACTAATCCCCGATGTGGGAGACTACCATCATTCTTGTATATCCTCCAAGTGTTGGTAGAGTACCATCGTCCTTTCACACTCTCCAAGTGTCGGTAGAGTATCAGCATCTGTTCACACCCTCCAAGTGTCGATAGAATACCATTGTCCTTTCATACCCTCCAAGTGTTGGTATAGTACATTCATCCTTTCACACCCTCCAAGTGTCGGCAAAGAACCAGATCTTCTCTCAAGCAACTTGAAAGAAAAGAAAGAGTATTGACACAAAAAAAAGAGATTCTCACCTTTGAGTAACCTTGTGAATCCTTCACACTCCACTTGCAATAACTATCTCTCAAGCACTCTCCCAATCACCCTTTCACTTGCTCTTTAAGAAGTCATAAAAACAAGATTCATCCAAGTCAGTTTCTAAGGACTTTTTATATGAAAGACATGAAAAATCATCAAAAAATTAAAATTTTCAATTTTTATCATCTATAATTGTACCGTGCAATCGATAATCATCTCGAATGAACGGTTCAAAATTTGCTCGTACGATCCTATAAGAAAAATTTTCGTACAAGCATATCGTACAGAACGATACTTATATAGGATAGTATGAACAGTTATAAAAAAATTTCTTATTTATCTAGTCGAATAATACCCCATAATTTTGTACTTTAGACATGTTTGTACAAACTCTAGATCATCTTAGATGAATATATCAAAAACTTTACCTATTCATATGGACAAAAATGTTTGCAACATTTTCGTACTTTGGACGTCGTCTCTACAAACTCCAGATTGTTTTAGATGAATTGTTCACAAAATTTACTTGTTCGTATGGACGAAAATGTTCGCATCATTTTTCTACTATGAACGTCATCTGTACGAAGCCAACTTCGTATAGTACGAATAATACTTATAAATTTTTTTCGTCCATGATTTGATTAACTATTTGCCGGAGGAAATAACTGAACAAATCATCCCATACAAATTGAAATCATACAGTATGACTAGTTTTAAAAAGTAAAATTTTAATACTCCTCTTGTAAAACCCTTCAGAAGTTCATTTTTTTTGTGCTGTTAGTCCGTACGAACTGACTTTAGTACGTGACGAACTGAAGAAAATTGTGAAAATCTGTATGGTTAGTACGTACGAACTGCCTGTACAAACCTGAGTTTGTCCGTTAGAACCTGAATTCGTCCCGGGACGATTTCAGGACAATCTTTTCGCTGTGGATTGCAAGGACATAGAGTAGCAGATTGTCCTTAGAAAGGATTTGGAGGAAGAACTGATTCTGGGGACGAACTCAGATTCGTACAGGCAGTTCGTACGTACTAACCATACATATTTTCATAATTTTCTTTAGTTCGTCCCATACTAAAGTTAGTTCATACGGACTAACAACACTAACAAAAATGAACTTCTGAGGGGTTTTACACCTCTAGTGTGTGTGTGCACGATTGCTTAATTATAATCACACTCTCTCAGACTCAATAAAAGTGTAAAATACAAACTCTATTTACGATGAATCCTATCTAATATGACTTGAAGTCTTCAACAGTCTGGAGTATGATTTTCCTGAAAAATTAGTACACATAAATAACAAAAATAATATATCTAATATATGTTAAGAGAAATAGTAATCAAAATAATAATATTTGAAATCATCAAAAATACACTTTATATGAAAAACATAGTTATGAAAACTAAGTTGCAACAGGATGAAACTTCTATTTAACCTGGTTCGGTATTTGCATTGGTACCTTATGTGCTATTAATGAAAAGGAAAATAATTTGAATATTGGTTCTGAAGTTTTTGTTGAAGATGATCATGTTGCTGAACATGAAGATAAATCGGGACCAGATAAGTTTATTGGAGATGGAAATGTTGCTACTCTGAGTTTTCCCACTTCTATGAGTATTTATAGTGTTGGAGTTGATATCATGCTGAAAGATGAAGAAATTCAAATTCCAAATGCAAAGATGGAAGATGCCATGCTTTTACAAAAGGTGGATAGCTTGAAGAATAATCTTGGTATTTTTAAATTCTTCAAATTGCAAACTAAAACTTTTTAAAGAACTTCAATCATTAGGTCTATTGGAAGATCTTCCTAGAAGAAGGAATGTTAACTTGAGACTACATAACAGTGGTGGAGATTTTTCCCCTTCTATTATCTAAAATATCTTATTATGTTGACTAGAATGGTAGTGAAGCCTTTATAGAGGCTTTTTGTTATCTTACACATGGCATTTGTGATGAAGGCTTGAAAGTTGCAGTTTGTTCTTATTCAGGGTCAATTGAAGATGAAAAGGTTTGGTGTCTACAAATGGTTGTTGAATTACATCGGATATGAAATTTCTTGTTCATGTAGGGTGCTTCGTTGGCGAGCTTCAAAAATGCATGTCCAAGATGTGGAGTGGTAGCTTTATGGCTACTTGGATTTAATGTTATGTATAAATTTTTCTATTTGCATAATGAAATTAGAGTAATGGAGTTTCAGATTCTTACTATTTTTCAATTTTTATCTGTCTAGGAATTCTGAGATACTAACCAACCTTTTCGGTTGTCTAATTTTTGGTGTCCCCTTCACCCCCATCTTGTTCAAAATGAAGAGTAGTGGATCTTGTCTCTATTATGATTTTTTTCAATTTTTCTCAAATTTTTTCTTTCTTAGGTTTATTTTGCTTTTCAATAATGACTATCTTCCTTTTGTTAGGAAAGATAACTTTATTAGTTTTTTAGTTTCTTGATTATAATATTTTTTTCCTGCAATTTGCAATTTCAAAAAAAAAAAAATAAATAAATAAATAAAATAATAGTGAGATGCCCCGCAACCAAATAGCGAATTTTTTCGCGTTCCATTGGATCAACCGAGCGAGGCGTTACATTCGTTTGAAGTTCGGCTGGAGAAGTGCTAAGATGCGGTGATAAAGAAAAATATGAGAAGGTGATGATCGGGAAGGCATGAACTTTGGTGCAATATGGAAGCTATGATTCAAAATATTTCGGTGGGGACTCTGGCGACGGCCGCGGTAGTCCTCGTTGGCGTCGCCATCATCGGCAAGTTTCTCCTCAATCAGCGAAGACATCCCAACACTCCACCAGGTTCTTCTTTTTAGCAAGAAATTAGCTTTTCATTGACTAGCTTGGTCCGGTTTTTCGGCTTGATACTACGAATCCCATTATATTTGTCAAGAAATGACCATTTGATTTCATATTCACTGAACATCGATTTTTTTTTTTGTTCATACATAATCTTTCTCTCCCTTCCAATACCATAATATCATGTATTTTCTCCTTGAATCTGCCATTGAGCTCTGCTTCATGTTGGCGTTTCTCATTGGAAAGAGGCTCCTTTCTTCGTTGTTGAGTTTTGTTCATCTAGCTGAAGTATTCGTTAATAATGGGTTTTTGATGATTCATAGCAAGTTTATGCTGGTATTTGCTTGATGGTGCTTTTTTTGGTAGAAGTTTATTTTTTACGTTTCGATTTCATGTGTTGTTTTAGCTGTACCTGGATGGCCTTTAATTGGGAATCTGCTTCAATTGAGGGAGAAAAAACCCTTCCTCACATTTGTAAAATGGGCTGAAGATTATGGTCCGATTTACTCGATTAGATGTGGAGCTTCCTCTATGATTGTTCTCAACTCGACTGAACTTGCCAAAGAGGTACAATGTAAAATACTCGTTTCTTACCCAATACTTGATTATCAGCTCAACATTTCATTATTTTGTACATATTTTTTCTTAGAATTTGATTCAACAATTTTATTAAAATAAGCAGAGTTTAAAATAGATGATTTATGGTAAATATAAATTAGTTTTTTTTTTTTGACAAAATCATGTTTACTGTATTGTTATTTTTAAGGGAGATTTATATACATACCACTTTATACTACTCTATTTACATATTTAACACTTAAAATTTAAATATTACATACATACCACCCATAGTTCATTTTCATATCAAATATGAGTGGTAGAAATGAAATATATGAGTGGTAGGAAAGACATATAAGTGGTATATTTGATATTAAAATAAGATAGAATGGTATGCATGTAATATTAAAGTTTTGGGTGTTATATATGTAAATAGGATGTTATAAAGTGGTATGTATGTAAATTGTCCTATTTTTTAATAGCTCTAATTCAAAATTTAAATGTGTATTAGATTTTAAATTTATTTCGATAAAACTCTTTTAAATATTTATGTATGGGCTTTTATGGAGATATTGTTTGCTGTGGATTTGATAAGTGTTGAACATTCTTGTACGTAAATCCGCACCTAATAGCTTCTAGATTTTATATCATGTTTGTTGCCTATGAATTTTGTGATTTGCTTCCTCTTGTGACTGTTGTATGGAGTAAATAAGGTTTAACAAGATAGAAAATACCATGGATTTTATAGAAAGAAGTTGGTTTGGTTTGGTGTGAATACTTTAAGTGTAATAGCTAAATAAAGAACGAGGGAACCTATGTTGCACCGATACACCTATTTACGAAGGCGAGCTATATCTGATACTGATACACAGATACGCGTTCGATACGGCACCGATACGTGTCAGATACGGCTTTTCCATATCCAATTAAAATACTATTTAATTTCAAAAGGACACACGTATCCGATACACGTTTCTTTTGAAAAAAAAAGACACGTCGTATTTACTTTCACGGTTGCGAGCGATGTTCTCTCATTTTCGAGATGGATTTGAGTCTCTTGATGATATGGAAATATTAGAAATTGCTAATCTTTCACTAGATGAGACTGAATTAGAAGCTATGATATTTATTGAAGATGATATAGAAGTTTAAAGACAAACCATTGAAGAAGCTAGTCATATCATTCTTTCTATTGAATAGTTGAAACTACATATGCTAGATAATTTATGTTTATGCTTTTGTTGTTGTACTAGACATTTAATGGTTACTTTTATTTTGATATTTATGAGCTACAAGGCTACAAATGATGTTCTTTTTTTTATAATTTCAAATATTATGCTTTGATTGCTTTCTTAATTTTATGTATGATATATAAATTATAATGTCGTGTCCGCGTCGTACCTGTATCATGTATTTTTAAGAATTGGTGTGTCCTGTATCCATATCGTGTCCTATCCGTGTCATCGTATCCGTATCGGTGCAACATAGGAGGGAACCAATGGAGAGAGAATGGGAGAAATAAAGGAGAACATTATTTAAAAGAATATAAAAGAGAGCAAAGAAAACATGTTTTACTCGACTTATGGAGAACTATCTTCACAAAGTGTTTGTTGGTGTTTAAAAGAATTAGATGGTTCTCTAGACATGGGTGATGCTATTATTTTGGGAAGCATTCAAGTAATGATTTTTCGGTAATATTTAAATCTTCTCTATTTAGTTTCTCTCATTGCTTCTGCACAATTTTCTCTTGTATTTGGTTTTAGACATTTTGGTTCTTTTTTTTTTGTTATGAGTTTGTATTTTTTAACACTGCCGTTGCCAGGTCTCAAGTCTTGGATGAGAAAAGTAGAGGGTTGCGTTAGGTAGTCGACAGCCAGCGTAATACTTATCGAATATTAATGACATGAATCCTTTAAGAATTTGTGTTAATGCTAGGGCGTCCCCTGGAAGTGACGTGTTGTATGGCCTGAATACAGTGACAAGTGTGCAAGGGCCGCTGCACCGGCGCCCGAGTGCAGTGTTAAATAGGCAAGGGTTCCCATATCAAGGATGAATGTGGGCAAAGAAGCTAGTCCATGAAACTAAAATTAGGATAGGAACTTGGAATATAGGTTCCCTTATAGGAAAATTAATGGAATTAATTGATATTATGATTCATAGGAAGTTTAATATTTTGTGCATTCAGGCAACTAAGTGGGTTGGAGAGAAGGCTAAGGAAATTGATAGTTTAGGATTTAAACTTTGGTATTCGGGTAAGAGTCGTACTAGAAATGGTGTAGGTGTTATTATAGGTAAGAGTTTAAAGGATAATGTTATAAAAATTAATAGGATTGGAGATAGAATTATAGCTTTAAAGATTATTATTGATGATAAGATTGTTAATATTATAAGTGCTTATGCTCCTCAAGTAGGTTTGGATATGAGTTCTAAATTAAATTTTTGGAATGACTTAGAAGAATTAATACAAAATATACCTCTTGAAGAAAGAGTTTTTATTGGAGGAGATTTAAATGAACATGTTGGTAGAGAGGTAGATGATTTTAAAAGCATTCATGGAGGCCATGGATTTGGAACGACGAATGAAAGTGGAAAGACCATATTAGATTTTTGTTTAGCTTATGATTTTTCAATTGCTAATACCTTATTTAAGAAAAGGAATGAGCATCTCATCACTTATAAAAATGGATATAGTACAACCCAGATTGACTATTTTCTTATTAGAAAATTAAATCGTTTAGATTGCAAAGATTGTAAAGTTATTCCGAGTGAAAATTTATGTACCCAACATCGATTATTAGTTTTGGACTTTAAGATAAAGGGGCATAAAATAAAAAATAAAGTAAAACAATTTTCTAGAATTAAATGGGGGCATTTAAAGAATATTAACAAAAATATTTTTGGAGATAAGATTTTAGATCGTAAGATTTTGTCTGTGCATGAGGATGCTAATATTATGTGGGAAAAAGTGGCTAGTGATATTAAGAATATTGCAAAAGATGTCCTTGGAGTATCAAAGGGAAAAGCTCCTAATAGTAAAAATAGTTGGTGGTGGAATCCAATTGTGCAAGAAAAGATTAAAAATAAGAAGATTTGTTATAAAAATTGATTTAATTTTAAAAATTCTGATAATTGGGAAATATATAAAGTGGCTCGTAAGGATGCTAAGAAAGCAATATGCGATGCAAAGACATTAGCTTTTAGTGATTTATATAATAGATTAAATACTAAGGAGGGAGAAAGATATATGCATAAGTTAGCCAAACAAAGAGATAGGAGTAGTAAGGATTTAGTTCAAGTGAAGTGTATTAAAGATGAAGATCAAAAAATACTTTTCTTAGAAGATGATATTCAACAAAGGTGGATGAGATATTTTGCTAAACTTTTTAATGAAGAGTGTGAAAATAAGATTGACTATAGTGACCTTAGCACCCTAAATGAAAATAAAGATTTCTATTTTTATCGGCGTATTAGTAAAACTGAAGTTAGAGAGGCTTTAAAGAAAATGAAGGGTGGAAAAGCTGTTGGACCTGATGATATTCCAATAGAGGTGTGGAAATGCTTAGGAGATGAAGGAATTTCATGGCTTACTAAACTTTTTAATACTATTTTGAAGACTAAGAAGATGCCAGATAAGTGGAGAATGAGTGTGTTAATTCCTATTTTTAAGAATAAAGGTGATGCACAAGATTGTGCGAATTATAGAGGTATTAAGTTAATGTGTCATACTTTAAAACTATGGGAGCGAGTTTTGGAGCATAGGTTGCGGCGTGATACTAATGTTTCTCAAAATCAATTTGGATTCATGCCGGGTAGGTCGACTATGGAAGCCATACATTTATTAAGAGGTTTGATGGAGAAATATAGAGAAAATAAGGAGGATCTACATATGATATTTATTGATTTAGAAAAAGCATATGATAAAGTTCCAAGAGAAGTGCTATGGAGAGTTCTTGAAAAGAAAGGAGTCAATAATGCTTATATTCAAATCATTAAAGATATGTATGCAGGAGCTATTACATGTGTTCAAACACAAGGTGG